CAGCTTGGCACTGCACAGCATCTTGTTGTCTTCAGAGCATCTTTATCGTTTGGTTTCTGCATAGACCTGTGCGTTTGCCTCTTGTTATTTACACTACGTGCAGTGGGCAGAGCTAAACAGGCAGCGATGTAGAACCGGTGGGCGGGGCTAAACAGACGGCGATGTAGAACCGGTGGGCAGGGCTAAACAGACGGCGATGTAGAACTGGTGGGCGGGGCTAAACAGAGGGCGATGTAGAACCGGTGGGCGGGGCTAAACAGACGGCAAAGTAGAACCGGTGGGCGGGGCTAAACAGGCAGCAATGTAGAACTGGTGGGCGGGGCTAAACAGACAGTGATGTAGAAGCAGGCGTTGATGATCTGTGGAGGCGGTGCTTATCCACACTATTGCATTATAGAGTCGTACATTCCACAAGCTGTTGTTTGGCACACTGCCTTCAATATAAGTTAGTTTTTAGACTAATGATAACGTTTTGAGTTCTGAAACTTACAGGATGTTTTTATAGTACAATGACCTCTTATGTGTCAAAAGATCAAGGGAATTTTGGTTTCTCGGTTCGTGACCCTTTTAAAAATTAGCTATAAAACCTTTAACAAAGTACCAAAAGAAACAAACATGCCCCAGCAATCTTAACCTGAGGAGCACACCCTTACCAAATCCCACGCTCTCTGCTCAAATAAAGGCTCAAAGAAGCCCAGATCAGATCTGACAGACAATATCAAGCCCTAAGTGAACCCATGAGAAAGAGCGGATGCTGGACAGCGCTGATGAGCACACCAGAGACAGTGTGCGGCCCTTTCACATGCTAATGACCGCAGATGATTGTCCTCTGAAGCTGCTCCAGGACGACACACAATAGAGACGATGCGCTCATGAATACACTCACTAATGAAACACACATCTGAGTCAGAGCACAACACACACACACTAAACATGCACATACTAAACACGGCTGCTGCCAGCGAGCTGCTGAAGCAGTGAGGAAAAAAAAAAAAAAAAAAAAAAAAAAAGTATGTATAGAGTACGTCAAGCGTTATCTAAGGCCATCAGGGCTGATCATGAGACCCGGCTGTGGCGTGACTGATCCATCCTGCTGCAGACGGAGCCCGAGAATCAAACAAACACACGGCGCTTTCATGCAACGACTGGCTACTCGGATCTAAATAAAGGCTGGAGGGAGGACAGGAACACGCCATCACATGCATTCAGATATCACAGACACTATTATGGTGGGGTCTTTTCACTGGACTCTTGAGTTTTTATTACGGAGCTTAGGGGGATAGTTCCTGTCCCCTAAACAAACCTTTCTGTATTTAGACACTTTCGTCAAAACATTTAACATGCCATGCAAATAAGCAAAAAACTCCTACCTTAACGAAGGCAACCCAGCTCTTATGGCAGTATATGAGGTATCCACCCAAACTAGACGGTAGCTGGCTTCTGTCGATGTAGTTGGAAAGCTCAAAAACCTCTTTGAGGAAGATGCGCTGTCCACATAAAAGAAAACCGACATTAGAGCTCAACGTTAAAACCAACCGCTTCAATGCAGGAAGAAATACAGCTTTGGAAATCAGTGATAGGGAATTGACTTAATTCGATTGAGATTAACAAGTTCAATTGTCAGTTAATATGTACACAATTTATTCTGTAATATTTCAGATATGGGGACATTTTCAACATGGTACAAAAAACAAAAAAAAACAAAAAAAAAAACAAACAAAAAAAAAGCTGTAAACCAGCGGTTCTCAATGGGACAACAGGATAATCAAATGATTAAAATACTCCAATTTGATTTCAATTTAAATTATTAACGTTCAATTCAAATTCAAAAGGCAATCTAAATGTACACATTTAATAAAATAAAATATAAATTCATAATAAATTAAGATAATGAACATTATGTATATAAAAATAAAAAATAAAAAACGAACAATAAAGATTAAGATGTTAAATGCAAACACTTGTTTTTATCCCCCTCAGTTACTAGTTTTTATTGAAGAGAACAGTTCATATGTTATGGTCCATGAGGTGTTGAATTATTGTGTTGGACAACAGGCGGCCATTGTGTTAAACACTTCTGTAAACTACAGCAAACCCTTTCATTTAATATAACCACCTCAAACCATTAGTCAACAGCTATTTATTATATTCACATAAGCATTTAAAAACTGCATTGTATAGTAACATTTAAACTACATAATTAGGTTTCATGAAACCACATAACTCACAATAAATGAACTCTAAGCATTAAAGGGGTGGTTGACTGGGTTTTTTCTAGGCTTGATTGTGTTTATGGGGTGCAGTCTAACATGTGTTCATGCTTCGTTTTTTAAAAAACGCATTATTTTTCACAATTTACCTTTATTCCACACCGATCTGTCCCTTCTCTAACAAACGCCTCGATTATTTCCTGTTTTTATGAAGCCCCTCCCTCAGAAATACACGATGGGCTGAGATTGGTCAGCTGGCTCAGTGTGTTGTGATTGGCTAAACCGCCTCTACAGCACGTCTGAACATTCCACCCCTCAAGCTCAGAATGTGCTCCGGTTGTATTGTAAACAATGACGTCCTCTATATTGCTTATCAATTTGAGCCCGATTGAGACGCAGAGAATATTAATGAAGAGGATCGCGCAGAACCTGTGCAAGCACTGCTCTTAATGGTATGTTTGTTTGTTGTCCCATATTTTTAGATACGCTGTTGTTTGTAAATGCTACTGCTTCTGTTATCTTTTAATATATGGTTTTATTCTGATTAAAGCTTTAATACAGCACAGCAACCGTACGCACGTCCATGTATAACGCTTCTCATAGCTATGTGAAAATAAGTGTATAAATGGAACAGTTTGTTGGAGCTGATCTGACGATCTGAATGAGAGAGAGAGAGAGATGCAGAGCAGGGGAAC